AGAACCTCTTTCATGGTGAAATCCAGACAATCAAGTTGATGGTGAGGACTAGCCTCGCTGGAGTTGCACTTTTTACAAGATGGAAAAAACTTAATTTGTCCACTGAAAGTGAGGCTCTTAGTATGCCCACTGACAAATCTACAGGTAGCGGTTTGGTCGGCACGTGTAACCTAAAAGTCAAGGGCTCCTCCGGAACGCTTGCGGGGATACCACTTGTGATCCGGTGGAGCAAGCCAAGCTTTATTAACTTTAGCATTAACATTAATTATAACTTGTAACAGTTTATACATTCAATCTTTATTTGCAATCATTTCAAAAAGGAAGCGAAATAATTATTCATATAATAACATTATATTACGTGCACCACACGTTATATAATGTTATACTATTATATTAAGCATTATTTGATTTCTTTTAAAAATAATGAGCTAAAGTAGAGAAGCTCATTTATTTTTAGCAGGTTAAAAATTGTTTAGCCTCTTTATAGGACGCTATACCTTTTCATGGCAAATTTTCTTTCACTTGCATTAATTTTAAATTTTCGAGGAAAGTGACTTCTACAAAAATGTACGGTGCTTTCGAGGTTTATTTGAAGTTTTTACTTATGTATTTAGGTTGATTTGAGGTTTAGTTAAACTTGACTTCAAAAACAACCTTAAAAGAATCAACTTCTCAAGGTTTTTAACCAAAGAGTATGAAATTTTTATAGTCACACTTCAGATTCTATTGAATTCTATAGAAATCTACCTTTCAGCAAACAGGTTAGAGAGGTTGTTTGTGAGGTGCACGGGTTATTTTTTCTGCACTTCATAAGTACATATATTTACGGTGTGAATAATTCTACTCAAGGTCAACAACTAGTATTGCTGAGCTATATATGATGTTGATTTTATGAGGTGTAAATGAGGTTGAAATTGAGGTTTTTTGAAGAGGTTAATTTTAGTGCAAAACATAACCTCATTTTCTAAAACAGGTGCATTTTTTTACATCTTCCAACCTCAAAAGAACCTAAAAAGCATGTAATTTTTTTTTGTAAGTGTAGTTCCGGAAAATCAAAAGCAAACCTTTCAAATGCTGAAAACAATTTCAAAATATCAAAAATGCAAACAAATTATGGCAGAATAACTCATGATTACGCAGTAGAGAAGTAATCATGCAATAATTTGTCTGCATTTCCATATTTTAAAAGCATCCTTTCAGCTTTTGAAACTCCATGGTTACCTCTTGGCTAACCTATGCTCACTTTTCTCAGAACTTAAAAATATCAATGGAATTGAAACAGAATTTGCCATGAAAAGTTTTCGCCGAGGTATAGCTTCCTCTTAACTTGTCTTCATCTGAAATATTTTTAAGATTGATTTTTAATAGGAGTCAAAAGTTACATAATTTAATAAAAATCCTATTACACTCATGAAATCTTTGCTTACAAATAACTTTAAATGAAACGTAGTCAAGAGTGGAAAAAACGGCGCTAGAAAATATGTCTGACACAAAAAAATAAAAGGTATCAGAGAAGATACATGAAGGAGTACATTGTTACTTGATACATTGGGATTATGAAACCTGCACTTTAATATGAACAATGTGAGTTGTATTGATTGAGCGGTTAAATGAAAAATCATTTATAAAAAGTAATGATCGATTGAACGGAAAGGAAATGATACACAAACGGTAAGGAAATGATACACGAAAGAGTGATGCACGAAGACATTACTTAAAGTAAAGTCTCCATTTTTAAACGCAAAAAACTAATTATTTAATGAAATTAAGTATTATTTTAAAGTCTAAACATTTTCTACATAATCGTCACTTCATTCGTTGCATTTTTGCAGACGATGAGTCAGTTTTTTTGTGCCTATGTCATACCAGCTTCAAGTCATTTCCTTCAGTACGTGCTTCACTTCGTCGCTCGTTAAATCGTCTCCACAAAAAATTTAAATTTGGCCATCATAACTATGGTGAAGTATTTATCAGGGTGCCAATTTATATCGAGATGGTATATCAGGGGTGTTGGAGATTGTGTTTGTATAGTGGACTAGTTGAAGAATTATTGACAAATTGAAGATTGATGCTGAAATCAGGGGATGATGAAAATAATACTTGAACCGGATCAGAATTAATTAAAAGCTTTTATTTCATATATTTGCAGAGCTCTAGGTACCAAATATAAATATTATCCATAGGAATTTCAGTTGAATCAATTTTGCATAATAATATTAATAAGGACAAGCCATGGGAGACAAATACCCCACGACCTGCCTAAACAAAAGCCAAATTAAAAAGTATGTGTAATTTGTTCCGATCGGACACAGGAGAAGCATGGGTAGGAGATCCAAAATTGGCGAATTATCATAATATAACATAGCCAAAACAAAGCCAACCAGCATATCAATATTGGGTTTAAAAGAATACCTTGGCGATCACGAATCGCCAACAAATTTATGAGAATTATTACAACCATGCAACTGAAACATTTTTGCGGTTAGAAATTAGAATAAAAGTTATAAATAGATTTTTGTTTTGGATTAGTAATGAAATAAAAAGTATCCGTTACATTGATCTATAAGAGAAGAATAAATATTTCATATTCGTTTTAAAAGATTAAGTCTTTGATTTATTTTAAAAGTAATTCTATTAATAAAAATCAGCTTAAGTAATCAAAGATATTTTAAAAGATAGGAAATAAATATGTAATGCCAATTGTGGCATCACAATAACACCCTGCTGTCTTGTCACCCAGTGACTGCGACTTCATTCTTAAGAATATTTCCTGACAGGTTATTCAACTTCAAAGACGCGGTGAAAGATAAACCACGAGTGAACATAGCAGAGAGCTGATATGACATGAGCGCACAAAAATCATCATAGTATCTACAATAATGCATTGACCAAAGTGGAGATTATGTAGAATAACTGGCAATTAATTAACTTTTAGAGCGATATAATATTAGAAGAAAGAAAACAAAGAAAACAAATAAAGAAATTAAGAAAACAAATAAGAAAGAAAACAAATTGTCTTTATTTCTAAGTGTTAATTGATTGAATGTTGGGTTTAGTGGCACAAGGTCCAAAAAAAGGACATACTGCGCATATTATTTCTGTTAAAAAAAAGTAGAGTTCACTTTTTATATTTTGCATTGTTATAAATATTTCTCTCTTTCAGCATGAAATACATAAAACAGTCTCTCTATAAGCATATTCTAAAATATTTGGAGATTTTACATTTGAAATTAAGCTTTTACTACGTATGTTATTTTCTTAATGAATACGTAAAAGTATGGAACAATGCAAAATACATGCAAAAGGGAATAAAATCGGATAAAAAAAATAACGTTAAAATATAGATACGCAAAAATACTAAGACCTCATTAAAACACAAAAATGTCGGAGGATTGGTTTCATTGAATAAATCCTAAATAAGTATATCTTATATAAGAATATAAATAAATTCTGTATAAGTATGTATATAAAACTACAAAAAAGTAAGACTATGTTTATTAAAATATGGGCAAATGAGTAAAAAGTAAACCGAGTGAGAATATGTGGAAGGTAATAGGTGAAATAAAACAAAAGAATGCCATATTAAATCTTTTCGAAATGTAATGACATTTAGGTTAAATCTTGATAGGTAAAAAAAAAAATTATCAAAATCAAATATTCAAATGTTTCTTTTTTTCTACTGAATACAATGATTAAAGCACTCCAGTTAAAAGAAACACCAAAAACAAGTATTTGTTTCCACTGAAATTATTTTACCCACGCAATGTTTTATGTAATACGACCTGTTATCCTAATAGTCTTTTCGTTCAGCTTTACTTCGAAAACCTACAGTTAAGTGAGTAATTGTACATGGGAACAGCAACAGATGTTACATCATTGATGGTTGGCTCAATGAAAGGTTAAGGCATTGGAAAACTAAACCTTACGCTCTTATTATTAGGCTTCCCTACATTACCAACGAAAAAAACATAAATTTAATATTGTCTGCTCCACACTAATGGTGAGCCTAAAAACGTAAATTTATACAGTTTCATTTTTTTCTACTTGATACAACTTCATTTTTTTCCTACTTGATACAATTTCATTTTTTTCCTACTTGATACAATTTCATTTTATTCTACTTGATAAAATTTCATTTTATTCTACTTGATACAATTTCATTTTATTCCACGTGATACAATTTCATTTTGTTCTACTTATATCTGTGGCAGTGTGGCGTGATGAATGTTGCTCGCCTTCGTGACTCAGGTCACAATTTGCTCAACAGGCAACGCATAATGAGCAACAATCCTGGCACTTTCCATGGCGAAGAACGATAATTTCAGTGCCTGCTGTTTAAAAAAAAAGTATATAAAAAGATAAATAACCACATAATTCTTAGAGAAAATCTATTTAACCGACTAACACTTCCACGAGACGGTTAGACTTTCTACTCAACATGACTGTCTGGCTAGACATCTTTTTTAAAATAGATGTCTTACCGGACTCCTACAGTATCCTTAGCAGGGTCTAAGTCATTATAGATAGTCACCCTATTTCCTAATACAGAGCGCTTCGTGGGACTACCTTGGTTGAGCGGTACTGGGCAGTACTTCCTAGATGAGACAAGGCCTACGCATGGATCAATTAAGTAGCCCAACGTAACAACGTTCGGACTACTAAAAAGTCGGATTTCTTGTTTATGTTGACCCGCGCGAAAGCTTTCTCTCTTCAAGGTTCTGTACTGGGAAGCGAGAAGTTGAATGAAACACGGACTTTTTAATTATTTTATTTTATTATTCTTGGTTCATTGTTGATACATTATTTTTCTAAGTTCTCTGCCATTGGAAATAAAAAAAAATAATTTTATTCCAAACATGCAAACCAGACAAAAACAAATCAGTGATGAAAGTTATAACTTCCGCGTTTCAACCAAACAAGTCATCAATTTTCACTGATAAATGCAGTTAATGTTATACTTTTCAATTAACTATATCACGCACAATGTTTCTTTCTTCTAGTATGGCATGACACCACTTTTGATGGCTGTGTGGTTCGGATATAAAGAGGCCGTCCAACTACTAGTTAAAGCAGGAGCCAACTGCAGGGCTGTCAACCGAGTAAGAACTTTTTTAAATTCTATTTTAGAACAAAGCAGCGACATCTCTCTAGCCGTTGCGTGGTTTATTTTTGCACAATAAAGACTGTAACGTTCATATTTACCTGACGTCTTATCACAAACGCTCAGTGTTTTGAAACAAATAGATGCAATTTGAATTATGCATGAACTGCATGTAAATGCTCAGAGAAAAGTAAAATGCTAGGGTATTGATTCCCACCTTGTTTGTCTTTCTGTTGAGTATTTGCTTTGAAATAATTTCTCTCGTGGAAAATAAATTATATTACTCTGTTTAAAATTAGATTCAAGTTGAATCTCAGTTTCATTTCATTTTACATTTGAATAATTTGATTTTTTTTAGAATTCCAATTCAACATAATTTTTTATCACGAAAAGATTAAAATGAGGTACGCATTCTTGTAAAAACCTCATCTTTTCAAAAATACATAAAAAATTAAGTAATAAAAAGTTTATTTGAATTGCTTTGCATAAGGAGAGAGACATAATGTCGCGAAGATTCGTTCTTTTTTATATTACTATTCGTTGCGAAATGTGAAAACATTAAGATATATCCGTTTTGCATTTTTAGATTAAACATTTTTTTTTTATTCGTGGCATATTTTTAGATAAAACAGACTTTTTTTGAAAGCAAAATATATTCTTACAAAAGAATGCACTTGCTTAAACTAATATGTTTACAACTTCTTAATCTAGAACTAATTTATTCTATTTATGGCATGGTTATGCAGGGTTTAAAAAACTGGGACCAAAACTGAAGAAGAAAGTTACGAATGCTTGTAATTAAAATAATTTTTGAAATTTAAAGAAATAAATTTTTTTGCAATATCTCTGGTTTTGAATGCAGTAGAATCTAAATTATCCGAATTAATTAGCATCATACCAGCTCCGGATAATAAAAATAATCTAATTATACAACTGACATTATTTTTCAAAGCAAACCATCTTCTAAAACTGAAACTAATTCTGAAAATCAAAATTTTTCAAAATAGTGCTACGTGGTTTAATTTTAATATATAACTATTTCATAAATATCTTTTTCGTCAAAACGGTAAATTTTATTTTTTAAATTTTCTTGCTCTTTTTTTAAAGAAAAACCATTTCTATAAAGCAGCATCAACTCTAAATAGTTAGCTGATATCATCGATTTAAATTCGTTACCAAGCTTCAAAGGAATTTTTTCCCGATTACATTCACACTTCGATATTATATTTTCTTTCACAAACATTATGCTTTCACTTAGCAAAATTGGATTGTCAAATTATAATAATAATTAAAAGATGGATGAAATAATGAAAAATACAACTTTCATATCGATTAACATAAATAAAGCAAACAAATTCACTAAGAAAACGTTAATTTTTAAAATGATCAATTAATAATAGTCATGCATGTAAATAGTGTTTATTTTAAATGGAATAGATAATGACGAGATAGATAATTATTATTATTCATAGGAATAGATAATGACGAATAAAAAAAAATTATTTGTTTTTGCTGAGATCACCATAGAAGATACCAATGAAGGGTAGAAATTGTGTAGCATCAATTCGTAATAGCCATGCAATGTAAATAGCGTTTATTTTAAATGTATTATGTATAGGAATAGAAAATTATGAATACAAAATTATTTGTTTTTGCTGAGATCACCATAGGAGAGTAGCAATGTGGGGTAGCAATTGTGTAGCATCAATTCATAATAGCCATGCAATGTAAATAGTGTTTATTTTAAATGTATTATTGTATAGGAATAGAAAATTATGAATACAAAAGTATTTGTTTTTGCTGAGATCACCATAGGAGAGTACCAATGTGGGGTAGGAATTGTGTAACATCAATTCATAATAGCCATGCAATGTAAATATCGTTTATTTTAAATGTATTATGTATAGGAATAGAAAATTATGAATACAAAATTATTTGTTTTTGCTGAGATCACCATACGAGAGTACCAATATGGGGTAGAAATTGTGGAGTAGCTATGTGGAGTCAATGTGTATAGAGCAGGTCACTCAACAACTAAAAAATCCATAATGTCCGTAACATATTTGAAAAATTTTATGAATATAATATCGACGTCTTTGCATTATTTAATAAATTTCAAGCAGGCATTTGATAAAATTAATATACCTAAGTTGGTATCCATTTTAGTTGAGCTGAAAATACCTATCAAGATAATCAAACTAATAAAATTTACCCTCAAAGGGTCTAAAGCCGCTGTTGTCTTGCAGGATGATAGTTCAGATGCTCTTGATATTGATGTTAGTGTCAGACAGATGGGTTTATTATCACCATTACTTTTTACTATGGCACTTGAATTTATAATTCACCTACAGGATTTGAGAGGATTTATTATCACTAAAACAATTCAGCTTTGTGCTTTTGCAGATGAAATCGTCATTTTGATTAGAAGTAGATCTGCTTTAGTTTCCTTTACTAGTCATCTAATAAAAGCAGCAAATGAAGTAAGCATCGTCATTAATGAACAAAAAACAAAATTTATGGCGTGAGCAAAATTTACTATAGTATCTATATAAGTTCGATAATATAAGTTTGATAATCTTAGATTTACCGTCGATAACAATAAAATTTAGGGTAAATAACTATAAGATTTATGGTAGATAACTATGAGATTTACGGTAGATATCTATAAATTTAAAAGAGTTTCCACTTTTACCTACTTTATTTCAATTATCAGTGATGCTAACAATATGTAAGAGAGAATTAACTCCAGGATACAAAAATGTTTGTACTTATACCAATACTTCTTCAAGAACGAACTTCTTACTAAGGAAATCAAGTTAAAGATCTATCAAACAGTTATCAGGCTTATAGATATGTATGGCAGTAAAACTTGAACTGACAAATGAAGACGGACCTAATCTATTAGTCTTCAAAAGGAAAAACTTGAGCAAAATTTTTGAACCAATTAAAGTAAACAATACGCATTAGAGTTATTAATGGCACTGACAAGTTTATAAATTAACAAAATTAAAATAAAATATTTACGGGGAGAAAAAATTCTGGTAAAATTACCTTACTGTATAATAATGATATTTCTAGTAAAAAAGTAACTTAGTTTTGGTATTATAAAACCAAAATATACAGTACCGTTCATATGGTAACGGTTTATCAGAGGTATTATTCTCAAAATTCTTACTACCCCACATCTAGTAAAAATATAAAACTGAATAACTTTAATCGAATAAAGGATTTTTATGCTCTGCCCTAAAGTATCATGATAAAAGTACTACATTTTCCTAATTTTATCGCTTATTGAAAAATTAGATTAATTTTACCAAAATTATTTCTAAATTACTAAACTAAAAATTACCGTGCTTGCTGGCGTTCCCATAGAGCAAAAACACGTTAAATTTTACCTTATTTTGGTAGTTTTGACCATACTATTTTTATCTGTCAGTAAAAGTCTACTAATCTTTTAAAGTAACATACCTTGTATTATTCCTGAAAGCTTAATTCAATGTTGTATGTTTTTTGTATCTTTTTCGAAAACAAACGATACCGGCACCTTTTTTTTAAATAATTCTTCAAAAGAAATAGAAGATTGCATTAGATAGCCTCTACATCATTTTGTCAGTTGCTATTATGGCACTAGGCCCTATGAAACTAATAAAGTTCTTAGTGAACTGATACAGTGAGAAAAATTACATCAATGATTGTCTATGTCTAACAAAGTTCACTATGTCAGGTTGCCAATTTTGATGTAACTGATTTTTTCAAAAATATCTATGTCCTGATAACTACAGTTCTGAAAAAGTAGACTTAAGATAAAGAAAATACCCTTATTTATATTATATTATTTCTCATTGACTTATATTTTAAGCTTACTGCTATCTTGAACAGAAATAAATTTGCCTTTTTATGTTTGGTGATTTAATCTTAATTAAAAAAAAAACGAGCAATTTTTAATTTTAAATTTCACGTTTTATACACTGGGGAATATTTAATTTTTTAGTTTAAAATAAGAATAAGCTTTAATGGTGTATGAAATAAATAATATTTTAATACATTGAAACAGAGAAAAAAAACTCAGGTTTCAGAGTTTTAAAATTAGGGAAAGAATTTGATAAAAATAAATTGACAAATCCTATTGTTAAATACTCGTTATTTAGATCATTATTATATATACATTTATTAAATTTCATCGCTGTTTACATCATTACATTATTATTATCCTAACTATACAAATCTTTTATCCGGTTTTATTTTCTAGTTTCTTTTTTTTTAAACTAGTTTGCAAGTAAGGCTTAATAGGACAAGTTATGCTAACTTAGGAAACATTATTAATTCTAATTAATCCTACAATCGTGTCCTAAGTTGGGGAGGAAAAAAATTTAAATTTCTCTAAAATACCTTTGAATGGCGTGATTTGTCTTGGGAATGTCCCCTGACAGTAGGGTGGTTAGCTAAATTGAAGTTTAATTTATTAACACGATTTCATAATATATTTAAACACAACGTGCGTAATAAATACACTATTTTGACGCTAATGAAAAGAGAGGTATTTTGAAGTTTAATTAAGTTACCTAAAAGTAAAACGTTTTACGATTCTCTCAATTAATTTTGTTTAAATAAATTCAAAAGAGACGAGAAAAGTTTTAAACTTTCGTAAACGTGATTTTCGTAAATTGTGAATTCCTAAACTTTGTTTAGATAGATTTATCATTAATTTCTATTGCAATAAATAAAGTTTAAAGAATACAAAAAATTTAAGAACCAAACTTATTTTTTCCCAAATACTTTTAGGATTGTTAAGGGAGACATTAAAATACCGCAGACAACAAATCAAATTTAATATTTCATACAGTTAATATTAAAGACTACATTAATTCAAAAAAGACGTTTTATTATCATAAACCTTTAACCGATGTTAAAAGTTTTTGCTAGGAAATTTTCTGCAATGTTTACTCTTATGTCTGTTCGTGGATTAACTTAATTTTGTTCAGAAATAATTATATTTCA